TGAAAGGAAGTATATAGCTTGGAGTCACATGGGGATTATCTTAAAAAAACATCTAGGATAAAACCCCCAAACAGACATAAATCAGAGCGTTACGCCCAGAATACGAAAGCAATTCATTCTTACAGGAAGGGCATATTGTGAACAGAGTTTTGACAGACAAAACAAAATTACCAAAACAGGGAAATACTAGGAATTGGAAAAAGCAACACTTTTAACTTTAATCCAGTTTTTTGTCTTGTTGCTGAAGAGTCATTACATCAAATACTGACAAAATTGCAAAGAAAAAATGTAACTTATTTACATAAAACAGAGCACCTTATACACTGAAACTAGACTAAGAATAAACCTATCATAAGATACACAAGGTATCATTTTATACCTTATCTAGTCCTCGGGAGGAAGCAGCATGCCATTGTGTCATGAATGTCATCTTGGCCTATTTTGCATTTGACCTCAATATTTTGGCCCTATTTATAGCCTGTGTACTTTGATAGCTGCATGTAGGATGTAAAAAAAACCTGAGCTCACTAGCCTTGCAAGACTTATTCCTGGGCATAACCACCTCAAAAGGCACCCCAGTGATTTATCAAAGACAAATGTTGCTCAATATCCTACTCACAGAGACAGCCATTTCAAGAAATTACAAACCCCTGGGATAACAAATGAAACAAGGTAATATAGTGGGAATATCATTTTAAGTTATCCCCATTCAGAAACAAACCTGTATAGAAACATAAATTACAGTATGTTAGATGCTTGATGGGAGAAGGTCTAGTTTTTACAGTAAGGAAGTCACTGTTCAAACTGGCTGAGGTACTAATTTAGTGGATAATATTTTACATGCTATGAATTGTAATTATCGTAATCAACAAGACTGCTGACAGTGAAACGTTTGAACTCTGTTGGATTAAACATGAAAAATCAGACTGAAAATGAAAGAAGCAATTATCACACTGTAACAACAGATGCCAGCTGCATAAGCACACATTTTTGCAAGCTGTCTGCTGCACATTCGGGGAACAGGTAACTCAACTGGTAAGCTCAGCTTGTTATCACATACAAAAAAGATGCCCACTTACAGCTTCCTGTTCCTATTTATAAACAGGAACTCTCTAATTGCACTTGAAGGTAAATTACAAAAGAAAAAATGTTGCTCTGATTTTTTCCAGAAAGCATTTACTGCTTTTTTTTTTTTGTATTACAGACACTAGGCCAGATCCTTACCTTACATAATTGGCTGAGGTCCATTAAATTGGCTATACCAATAATGCTCAAAGTACAACCCAAAGCCCAAATCTGGCCTGCAGAGGCAAGTCATCTGGACTGTGTGGCTCCTCACAGGTCTGGAAGTTTGGCGGTGGGGGAGCAGTGGCAGCACTAAGTGCTGCAGCTGTGAGAGCCCACTGGCAATTCACAATGCCACTGTTCCCCTGCCTCTAGATCAGGGGTGGGCCAGATGCAGCCCACCAGGCCATTCTATTCAGCCCACGGGTCCCCGAAAATTTTTTATAAAATTAGTATTTATCTGCCCCTGGCTGCCTGTCATGTGGCCCTCGATGACTTGACAAAACTCAGTAAACGGCCCTCCACCCAAAATAATAGCCCACCCCTGCTCTACATGCTTTGTCCTGTGGGGAGTCTCATGAGCTAGATGACATGGTGCCAGATTGGGTCAGGTCATGCCCCAGACCCAGCACATGGGGTTGGTTTGCTGGTCAGATTCAACCTGCAGACCAGCTGTACTCCATTCATCCAGCGCCTGCGCTAGAGAGGTTGAACCACTGAGCTAGACCAATTTATAATAGCTGAAGATCTGGCCCATCTTGTCTTGATTTGTACTTTATAGGAATGCTCTTATGGTGTCAAGAGGACACTGATCGTACCACAACAGAAAAACGCCCACGCTGCATTTTTTCTAGGTGTTAGCTAAAAGGGGAGGGGATGTTGAATCTTTCGCAAAAAGATCCTATATTCCAATTGCTAGTCAACTTTAATTAGATAGTATTTAACAAATACAGTTTAACATAGTCTGGAACCCTATCTGACCCTGAGAATGCTTCACACCCCACCTCAGCCTTGCTAGCATAGGCAACACTGCATCTTTGGTGCAAATTCAGGGCAGAAATACCAGGCATGAGGGACAGCACAAAAACAGCAGTGGGAGAACAACAGGAGTGTAGGGATTTTGCAAGAAATCCCACTTCTGATTCCACAGGATTACAGTTCTTTGGTTTTGCAGAGAATTGCACACAGTGGACTCATTATAGAATAAACTCAAGTCATTCGTTTGCATTCCTTGGTGGACTCTGAATTTGAGTCTGGTAGGACCAGACTTCCACACCTGCACATAAGAATATTCTTCATTATATGTTCTCTTGAGAACTTCTCTCTCTATCACTTGTAAGCAAGCTGCTATTATGGACTGACTTTTTCAGATGAAAGAATTACTCCATTTTCTACAGACAGCTTGTAAAATTTATCTAAGCAAAACTACAAAAACTATTGGCCATGGCAAATAAAAACTGTAAAAGGTCTCTCTGCAGAATCAGGTCAGGGCTCAGGAGACCTGTAACTACAATCAACCTATACACATATAGTAGGAGAAAGGGCCTCAGATTTAGGCATTCCAAAACTATCATAAATTCTATGAAAAGCATTTTCATTAGAATTTGTTCCAGTCTGACAAGAGCTATAGCCACCATATGCAGCTCTACTTTTCTTGTGTATGCAGGAGATAAAAAGAAATTGTACCTCATGCTAATTAAGAACATGCAACATCCTTCACTTGTCTGGAAGAATTATATTTTGAAAGCTGACGCACACTGCCAATTGTTTACTGCAGACAATTTAAATTATTATTTATTATCAAATATATATCCTCCAGATAAGCAGTCACACATACTTAAATGTGCTAGATAACCAAAGACCTATGGTTTCAGCATTCCTACAAAGTCTCTTGTTTTTATGTTTTAAGTTGCTCTCAAAATTTGAAGCTTTCTGATTAGAACGACACCAACTACCAATCGATCCTGGTAGTTTTACTAGAAGGAAAGCTAATGAAGAAGAACACCTACCCTGAACCGGGATTTCTGCGTAGCTTGGTCTTTTGTCTGTCAGAGTAGTAAGGGGTTTGGAAGTTGATATTGGTCCACTTATAGAATGCCTCTGAAATAGTAAAATGCCCATGTCAGAATCTATTTTATATAAAGCTAAATATCAATAAGTTAAAAAGGAAACAAAGTAGGTTAATTCAGAGTTTAATTAATTCATCTGATTTTATATGGTCACTGTTAATATATTTATGTGCTATAGTATCTGTATACAGCATAAATATACCCAGGTTGATAATAACGAAGCCTGCGAAGAAAAGTTGCACATTTTTTTTGCTCCTATACAATGTATTGAAAAGGAGCTTTTTTAAAAATGTCTTTGCTAGCCACCTGGGTCAACTCAAATTGCAAAGCTAAAACAGTCATGCTATACCAATTCGGTTTTCCATCAACTCTTGCTTCTGCTGATTTGAAATTCACTTTTGGGTCTTAATTTACCCTTTTATTCTGGAGACTAATAACAATGGGATGTTAGGAGGTTTATGACACCTCAGGTTCTAAGGAAGCAAAGCCAACTGAATTATTATTATTATATAGAAAGTTAAAAAGTGATTTTCTTAAAACCTATTAAATTTGAGCCCCCAACAAATAGCTGAAAGAAGAAATTTGTTCCAACTAGTTAGCATATAGTTACACATTCAGTAACACATCAACGCAATCACTCTTCCATTTGAAAGTCACCTCGGAAATGCAGTTCTATTCTGAAAAGTAAGAAGATACCAGTTTTTCACTTTTAAAAAGTGTGATGGGAGCTACAGAGAATTTTGGGGTGGCTGCAGCCCACCCCTCCCCCCCACTCCATAGCTCCCCTCCTGGAGCTGCCATTGCCTGCACCAAATGCAGCCTGGCTCAGCCCCCACACCAGGAAGAGCTCAGTGCCGCCCCAGGCCATAGCAGCAGCCCGCCCTCGGCCCGCACGCAGATCCAGGGGCACACACCTGCTATGCCCTCTCGGGGTACACAAAGCCATAGGAGCCATCCCCCTCCCCACAGGCCTCAGACGAGCCACAGCTCGGTCCTGCACTCTGCCTGGGTTGTGCAGTGCCTGCCCCTGCCCAGTTCTGTTAAAATAGTGAAAATCTGCAATATTTACAATGCAGTCAACCATACCCACTGTCAATCAAAACTGGGAGCTTATTTATAAAGAAAATGTGGGGAAGCGGGGAAGAATGGAAATGGAGATGGGAGGGAACTCTGTATTAGTTTCTGAAAATTATTTTGGTTACAAAATAGCTAATGCATATTATAGCACACATTCATTATTTACTCATTATCCTATCTATCCAATTCCTATACATAAACTGCCTAATCAACTCAATAAAGTGGGTAACGAGAACAGCCTGTCAGGTTTCCATCTGGTCCATGACAACACAGCAGGTTAAATGAGCGCTCATTATCATCACAAGATAAAAGGTCAGATGTGTCTCGTTACAAGTCACACAGAAGAACCTAACCCAAAGACAGGATAAAGAAATTTAATAGTATAACGTCACTAGGGCTGTGCAAAGCTTTGCTGGCTGTTTTGTTTTGACACTGTTTCAACTCATTTCAAGCTTGAAACAGCAAAATCGAAACGAAATGAAAGGCTCTGAAACAGCCTCAAAACAAAATGAGGCCAGTAGAAACGTTTCAAAAGTTAGAAACGTTTAGCGTTTCAAAGCAGCAGCAAGGTGGTGGGAAGCCGGGGAGAGCCAGGACTGTGCTCCAAGCAGCTCCCGAACCCCATGTAGCTCAGCCAAGCAGGGAGCACAGCCCTGGCTCTCCCCACCCCCTGCCTGCACTCTGTGGGCTGATGAAGCCGATCAGAGTGCAGCTGGCTCTGCCCACCTCCTGACTCTGCTCCGCTGCGCTCTGATCGGCTCCACCAGCCCCATGAAGCTCAGCCCGGTGGCAGAAGACAGGCAGAGCCAGCGCTGCACTCCGCCTCAAACCACCTGGCTGAGTTCCACAGGGCTGCGAGCCGCTGGGAGCTGAGTCTGTTGGCGAGAGGCACTTCCCCCTGCCAGGCTGAGTTCCCCAGGGCTGCCAGCCACTGGGAACTGAGCCTAGTGGGGGGAAGCGCCTCCCGCCCCTGGGCAGTTCCCAGCACTGGGGAACTCAGCCCGGCTGGGGGAGGTGCATCCCACTGTCAGGCTGAGTTTTCCAGTGCTGGGGGGGAAGGAGAAGGGCCACCTACGTGAGGCATCTCCCCCAGCCAGGCTGAGTTTCCCAGCACTGGGAACAGAGCCTGGCTGGGGAAAGTGCCTCCACCAGCCGGGCTCAGTTTTCAAGCATTGTGAACCGCTGGGAACTGAGCCCGGCAGTGGGAGGCGCTTCTCCCAGCCAGGCTCAGTTCCTCAGCACTGGGTCCCAGGTGGCAGGAGCAGATCGGGGGCCCACCCACACCCCGGGAGGGCTGCAGGGGCTCTGCCAGACTCCTCTGGGGGGGGTGCAGGCCCCCGGTCTGCCTGCCAGATCACAGGACTCTGGCTCCTGCTTGGTAGGAGCTTGAGGTGAAATTTCCTCAAACCCCCTGCACCTATCTCCTTGAAACTTGGCAGGCTTCATACCCTCAGAAGGGGCTACCATCCCTGCAAGTTTCATTGGAATCAGGCAAGAAGTGACTACGCTATAGGCATTTTCATGCTTCCCCATTAAAGCCTATGGGCAAAACGTCAAAACAGCTCAAGACAGCAAAACCATTTTGACGAAACAGAACAGAACAGTGCTTTCAAAATGAAATGAAACTCTAAACAAAACACTGATCCATCGAAATGGACGTCAAAGCGAAACACTACTGTTTCGCACAGCCCTGAAGGGCAGTAGTATCCCCTTGCACACTAAAAGATTACAAGACTACTTGTTTTCATTTGGTTCTTAACTAATAACAACTAGGGATACACCAATAAAGGTATTTGGGGCCAATACTTATAGCCAATTTTTAAGGAGGCATATTGGCTGATACCGATCTGATTTCTGATACAGCATGGAGAGCTGTGTGCAGCTGGTAAGTCTGTTGTGATGGAAGGGGAGGGGGAAGGAAAGGAGCATGGGGCGACAGATCAAGGCCCCGCCAGTGAGGTAGGGAGCAGCCCCGAGGTAGGGCCTGCCCAGCCAGGGCGGGTCACAGAATGGAGCTGTGGCTCATCCAAGAGACATGGGGAGGGCAAGGAGACTCCCGCTGCTGCACGCACCCTGGGAGGGCATGGGGGAGGAGGGGGACCAGGGATGTACCAGGCTCTTCCCGGCAGGGGCTGGACCAGGCTGCACTTGGGGCAGGCGGCGGCAGTGCTGCGAGGTGGTTACGGGGGAGGGGGTGCTGCAGACATCCCAAAATTCGCTGTAGCCCCCTCAACCTCACTTCTCAGCTTTGCTGCTGCCCACTCCAAGTACAGCCCTTGCCCCAACTTGCAGCATCCTACACAGATCTGAGGGGCATATGCCTCTCCCCGTGCCCTCCCAGGGCATGTGCAGCGGTGGGAGCCGAGCCACCCCACCCCACCCCTCCCAGACAAGTCACAGCTCTGTCCTGTGCCCTGCCCCAGCTGGGCAGCGCCTGCCCCAGCCCCACTCCCTCCCTCACCACAGGGGCCTTGATCTGCACCCCCACACCCATTCCCTACCCCTCCCCTTCTACCACAACCAACTTATCAGCTGCACGCAGCTCTCCAAGCTGCTGGACTGTGCTGCTTGCCACGTACGTGCTGTGCTGTGGCTGTGTGCGTGCACAGGCCATTTATTGGCTACATCAGGCCAATTTCTGATACAGCCAATTTTCTTTGTATTGGTGCCGATCCAATATCGGACCAATGTATCGGTGCACCTCTAATAACCCTTTTGTACTGGTAACCGAAGGGAAAACAATTATCATTATTGAGAAGTTTTATCCCACGTTACAGTAAGAGGACTTTTATTTCATCACTTTATAAGGAGATCACCTACGACAGGGGTGTCAAAGATATGGCCTGCAAACTGGATCTGGCTTGTAGAACCCTAGGATTGAACTCGTGGGTCTCAGACTGAATATGTGCTGCACGCATTCATACATGGAGCTGGTCTGGCATGTACTGCCTGCAGTGCCCATACTGGACTGACCCTGCATGCTGGCTCTGGGGCTAGATCAGGCCTACAAAGCGTCCCTGCGCACCTAGCCCGAATGTAGGGCTGGTCCAGCACAGGTGCTGCATGCAGTGAATGCTTTGTGCTGGCCCTGTATGTACCATGAACCCCAGAACAGGGCTAGCACCTACTACATGCTGAACCCAGCATGTACTATGTGCAGTGCCCCACTTGACCAGCCCTGACCACTGGCTTCAGGGCGTCAGGTAAGTTTGATACCCCCTCATCTACAACATCCTAAACGAATGCTAGAGATGTACATATTTCATTCTTTAAGCATGTTATCAACTTCAAATCAAATGCACATTTAACTGTTACGTATGTAAAACTGCTTCCATTAGTAACTATAAAAGTTGAAATTTTTAATAATTTCATTTTAAAGGCTCATTTCTGCTGAAAATACCACTTTTTAGATCTCCCATATAAAAGTTAATTTCTTCTTCATAAAGGAAAAAGAAAGAAGACCTAATTGAGACAGACTGTGACAAAGTGTGAAGAGGAATAAATGTGAGAGGCAGGAATTTTTGTGGGTGGTCTCTTTTATTGGAACAGTTGCATGGCTGTGACGAAAGCCTGTCTAAGTTTAAATGCACTCTGTTCCTACCCTGGCTGGCTGGACTTGAGAGGCTTGTAAGGGTGCTAGTGGGCAACACCCGGCCATGCTCCAATGATTTTGAAATATACTTCTGCACACTTAAGACGGAGGATAAATAAAGAACTCCTTTTAAAAGTTCTCCCTTTCCATGTCTCCAACTTCAAAAGGCTTCAGCTTTAAGATAAGCCTCCACCCAACAGAAAACTCCTGCTAAACTTTGTCCCATGCCACTTTGCATTAGCTGGAGTCTGCAGGGAACAAGAAGTGCTTTCATCACAGAGCCTAAATATGGAGGCTTCACAGTATTCCAAGTATGGAAGCCAAGGAACACACAGGTATAGAACTGCACCTACACTAACACT